TGGAGATAGGATTACTTGGAGTAGCAGACGGAGAGTTACTTGGAGTAGCAGACGGAGAGTTACTTGGAATAGCAGACGGAGAGTTACTCGGAATAGCAGACAGAGAGTTATTTGGCACGGTGGGGGTAGCGGAAGGAGGACTACTCGGCACGGTGGAGGTAGAGCTAGTGGACATGATGGGGGTAGGGCTTGCGTCTAGAGTGCTCTCAAAGCTGGATAATGATTAGCGACGCCCATGTTTCGTGAATATATACTTACGAATAGACGATGTAATCCAGTAAGGCAAGACTTGCCTGCCCACCTGTCTGCCCGTTCTGAAGCACAAAAGTATGAAAGCCCGGTGCTATCGATGGGTTTGAATACACCGGCACATTGTAGTCGTATGTTGGCTCGCCGGGGGCTATATGCTCGTAGGAACCTGCCGGTTCTCCGTCTAGAAAAAACAACATATCAGAGTTTCCGTCAGGTGCCGATGTAGATTGCGCGGTTATGCAGTACACGTAGAGAGCAGAACCTGAGTGCATCACGTTTAGAAACAGAAACACATCATATACGTAAATAGGTATGGTACTCACCATTGAACTGGAAAGTAGCAGATAGCACTGTGCCTACTTCAGGAAGATATGTTGTATCGTGCCAGGTGCCCATATATGCCTGACTCCCGTCCGGGGTCGCGACACAAGTAGAGCAATCCGAATCGAGGGTCCAAGCGTTCAAAGGAGCGTAGGTAATCGAGATGCCTGTGAGGGGGTCCGGATGCGCATCATCAACAGTGACGTTGACGAGGGCAGCATAGGTCTGAGGGAGTAAAAAGGCCGCCAGTGAAAGGAGAGGAAGAACCCAAGGAAAGAGTATAGAGAGTATGGACGACATCCGCGACTCCGCTGAGGGCTGTTGAGGGGGTCTGCCCCTGCAGACGACTAGAACGGGAGGGGGAAGAGGGATCAGGACGATTCCAGCTCAGTTCGAACAATGATATATCAACAGTTATACTTCTCAGTGTATCACGAGTGAGTGAATGAGATGGCCATATCAAGGCAGGTACCATCCGAGGTCCCAAAGAAGTGATATTTCCTGGGATATGAACCGACATGAATTTCCATAGTAAGTCTTGACGCTTGTGGGACCGTTATCAAGTAAACATCATCATATGACCGACACAGAATGCTATGGGTTCAGCACTGGTCTTTGCGGGTTGTGGACTATCTGCAAGTCCCAACAACCTGGTGGATGCTCACGAAGGGAAACATTCGGTCGTCTCACGGTAAAATCTCATCCACCGAATGCAACAACAGGCGTACCTTAACACAAGAGTTCCCATCAATGCGCCATCGAGAACCAGATGAACTTCGTGTTCGTTCCACGATAGTCGGTAGTAGTACTGGAGTGCTGAAACTTCCCATATGTTTGCTGGCGGTTGGGTCCACGACTAAGTCATTGAAAGAATTGCATAGACTCAATGTTAGAGCTATTTGACATAGCGTAATGGCCAGCACGGCTTAAAACGACTGCAAATGTGATGGCTGGCCGAGCCGAACCGGTACCAGATTCACATCTGTGACGGATCCGCAGCAACGGTCGTATTCAAGTAGCCGAAGGATAAAAATCAAGAGGTGAGATGGCATCTGACCCATGAATTTAGCAGGTCAAACTCACAGCTGGAAGACATTCAACTGAGCAACCGGGCCCCCCTCCAGAAACTCGTTCGTCTTTTCCGATCAGGTATCTTCACTCCATCTGACAGCATCAAATAGAATGCGTTATTATCACGTACTTAGGGGGTGGGTATGTTCTATAAGAGACAACTGGAGAACAACTAGTATAAAGCCTTCCATGAGAAAGTTTTCCGCTTTCTCCACGATACACAGCACACACAACAAAACCGACGGAGGTAGCAGCAAGCAAAGATGCAGAGGAATATGCTCATGCACGCTGACGAGGTCGGAACTTGAGCATGCATCCGTCTTGTGGGAAGAGCGTCGCAATAATTCTAAAGACGGTCGCCATTAGCGCATATCAACTATTGAAGAAGGAAACTCCTTACTGGACTTTGTCACTCTTGTCTGTCAGAGCATGATCCCATTCCATCAACATCGCCGCATCCGCAAGTACCAATCCAATGTTCATCATGGCGTACTCAAGGCCGATACACTTGTGGGGACCACTGCCGAACACAAGATAGTTACTTGGGTTTTTGTTGGCACTGCTCTCGGAGTCGAGCCAGCGTTCAGGTGTGAACGAGTCCGGGTCGGGGTACACCGACGGGTCGTGCAGGGAGTTGTAGAACGAGGGAATGACCATGCTACCGGAAGGAACAGTGTAATCGTCGGCAATCGGGAACGCCTTGGTGGTTTTGTATGGGACCTGCGTAAATTTGTATAAGAAATGGCAGAAATCGCATGATTCAAATAGGACAGACCATTGTGACTGGTGGTTTCACCCTCAACGTTTCCCTGACCATAGCCCTCAGATACGGCATCTGGTCCATCATCTCCAAAGTCATCGGCCTGTCAGGGTCTCCACCGCGCACACGCTCCTGCTCCTCCCTGATCTTCTTCAAAATATCAGGATGATCCGCAAGGTGTTGGAAGCCGTAAATCAACCCGCTGCTCATCGCATCTTGGCTAGCAAACAAGAACGAGAACACAACCATTGCCATCTCGCGGTCACTGAATTCCTTGCGGCCCTTATAAGCAGGGTCGTTAAGGGCAAGCAACCATTCGTCAAGCATACACTCAGAGGGGTTTCCAGCCGCGATAGATTCCTTGGACCTTTTAGCAGCGAGTTCGAGCCACTGCATCGCTGCCTTACGAGCCTGAATGGCCCTGTATACCTTAGTGCCGGGGATAGCAAGAGGGAAATTGACCAGCTCCAGAGCGAGGGTGATATCCCAATACTTTTCAGAGATCTCAACCGCGGCGCGTTCTGGGATGTAGGAACCACAGAAGACGGCCAACGAGGTTTCCATATTCATGTCGCGGGCAGTCATCATGATTGGCTTGGCTGACGGATCTTTAGCAGACTCAGCGAGCCACCTGGTCAAGTGCTTGCGAGCAATAGCATCCTGAATACCGACATAAAGACTGGGGTAGTGATGGGTTAGTACTCGATAGTTTCTGATGTATGATGCGAAACTTACCCAAGGGCCTTGCGCGTAAAAAGCGCGTTGAGGCCACGGCGGTAATCCACGTGTTCTCTGCCTGTGAGGAAGACCCTATTTAAGCGTCAGCAATTATTGCTTTAGGGCACGTCCGAGTGTACGCACCAGTTGTCAGGGAGAAGGATTTGTTTAGCGGAGTGTACGAGACAAGGCTCGGCGTAGGTAGGTGAGTTCAAGATTTTCCTCGCAAAGTCTTTCGTGGATGCCATCACGATAAAACTGTAGTAGACGAAGCATCACGTCAGCAATCATTCGCAGGAAACCATGGCACTGGAATTTTTTTTAATACGCGAAGAGGTTGAAACGCACATGTTAAACACGCTAATAGCACTCAAGGCTCCAGAGGCCCACTGCCTCTGGTACCCTTCCATGGTAGGGTTCACGGAATCTGCAAATTTGCCAATGAGGGGAATTGTCCATCTGGATCCTGGAAGGTGACGCTTCTTGTAGCGGTATACTGTCTGTTCAAGGACGAGGAGAGATATGACGATGGCGGCAGTTGTGTAGAACCAATTGCCCGATGGAATGAGACTCTGGGATGTGGGAAGTACATTGGAGGAATGCGAGTGTGACAGGGCGGATGGGAAGGAGGCTTTTGAGGATGCCATTGTTGGGCGCTGGAAGTCGTGCGCAACGGGGAAGACGCGCTGAACGACGGCGGCAACGACGACGAGGAAAATAAAGAGGGAAAGGGAAGGATGGGAAGTGTCCGAGGGAAACACTCAAGGAAATGCGGAGGATATCAATATGGACTTTCTCGCCCTCTGATTGGCCAACGCAAAATCGGTCGATTTCACTTTCTTCACTAAGCACGCTTACCATATACTGCCATCATTTCCCACGCACTTACTAGGCCTGCCTCCTCCTGCCTCCTGCCGTCTAGCACTCGCCCAGGCTTGATACAAATTAGAGAAATTATGCTACATCATGGTAAAGTTACAGACGACAAATGGAAGTTATCTTCGCTTGAGATCTTCCTTGGTTTCTTGCGCAGCCTTGCGAAAATGAATTAATGTCTGAAGGCGTAAAAGGGTACAAGACTTACCTGCTTCGCACCTTCCACGGTCTCTCCTGTCTCTTTCGAAGCGGAACCTGAGGTCAACAGCTGTCAGCTTGTATGGGACTTGAAGAGAACGGGATGCAACCCACCGATAGTCTGCCTCGTCTTCTCCGTTACCTTTTCTCCCTTTTCGATTCCTTCCGCCAACCCCTGCCCTGTCTTCTTGTCCACCTTGACACCAAGAGTCAGACGTGGTGCCGTTTTAGCTGTATCCCTGACTAGTGCTCACATAGTCTGCAGTCCCTTTGGCGCTCTCCTTTGCTCCCGCTGGTACAACAAGCTGCATCAGTTTCGCCTGTAAACGCCTGTAAATCAAGATGCTCACCAGCAGCGCTTTTTGCAGCATCTGTCGCTTGCTCGCCCTTCTCAATCGCACCGGCGAGACTCTTTCCGACTGTCTTATTTACCTGTCTGACTTTGAGCAAGGTCAAACGCTGAGTGGGAGGACTACATACGTTGTCTGCGACCTCCTTGACCTTGTCTACAACGCTCTTGTTTGCGACGGGTGAATAGTGGAAGGCTCTTGTCGAGGAGGTGAATGCAGTACGCCTGGAAGCAGAAGCGAGTACGGTGTGGAACATGGTGAGTATATGCTAGACTGAGGACGCAGGATTCTCCTGTTCTTGTATGCCCTTGTCCATGACGTCGTAAGCTCCTCCGTTCGTGGGGTTCGATGTCATCATAGCAGACGCGTCCTCCTCCTCCTCGCGTCTCGTCACAACATGTCACGTCCGTCACACCCCACAATCTGAAGGTTACAGGAAATTTTGCGATCAACAAGCTTCTATAGTGTAGCGGTTATCACTCGGGATTTTGATGTGGCATTGAATTTCCCGCGACTCAGGTTCGAACCCTGATAGGAGCTCTGGAACTCACGACTTGCTATCTTTTTGTTCACTTTAATCCCAAAGAAATTTACTTCTGTTTAGAATCCACAAGCGTTTTTATAAAATAAAATGAATAAATAACCTACACGTTAGTAAACACTGTGCTTTGATCGATCGGGATCTATAAATCTCTTGTGCGCGCCTTTTTGTTTGAGCGTCCTTCTCCCAAAAGTCGACTCCGAGTCTATGCACCTTGGAATTTGCACTTTCTTGCTTGTATACTAGTACTACCAGTGCACACTCGGGACTTATTTGGAACATCACATATCTTGCTCATGGAAGCCTTCCATCTGCTGTCTCGCGGAGGAGCGCAATTTGACAAGAAGAGGTTCAAGAATGATGTGCAACTCTTCAATGTACGTTTATTGTTTTAAGACGATGCTCCCCTGGCTTACACGACGCTCTCAGAAAAGCAAAACATTGGACAAGGGCAAAGGCGTAGCAAAACACACAGACGGAGAGCTCCCACCGGAGCTGGACTTCTTCAAATTCACACAGGGAGGCCCTGGAAAGCGCAAGGTAGAATGTGGGGCTGATGGGCGTTCACCACACAAGAAAGCCAAGGTGGATGAGGATGACGAGAGTGACGAGAATAGCGAGGAACATGAAGACGAAGACGAAGAACAGACCGCCTCTTCGTCTGCGCCCCGACAACGAGTTACCGCGAAGGGTAACAACGTTCCAGAGCACGTAAAATCTTTTGCGGATCTGGCGAAAAGGTACAACCTGCCTTCCCGTCTACTCTCTAATATTGCGCAAAGTGGGTACAAGCAGCCGACGGGAATTCAGTCTCATGGTGTTCCCATTCTTTTGGAGGTACGAATTACTTCAGATTTATGAAAGGGTCGGACTGAGATGGGTTGGGACGTAGAGTCGCGACCTTGCTGCGATTTCGCCGACAGGAACAGGAAAAACCCTGTCATATCTTCTCCCTACCATGGCTCTTCTCGGTGCACCAGCATCTAGCTCCCAAAGCGACTCTGGAAAGGGAGTGCGAGCTCTTATTCTCGCACCTACTCGCGAATTGGCTCACCAGATACACAATGAATGTCTAAAACTCGCGCAAGGAAGAAAATGGAGGATCGTCCTGTTCAGCAGGGCGACGGCGAGCACGCTTGCAGACAAAAATGTGCGGGACAAAGTGGGTAAGTCCTTGGTCTGCAGTTCTAGGCGTCTTACCTATGTGGGTGCTGATTGTGGACTGGGTTGATAGACATAATCATCAGCACGCCTTTGCGAATGGTCGCTGCAATTCAGAGTGGGAATCTAGAACTAAGCAAGTGAGTCTATGTGATTTCTTGGCATTGCCTAGTGCTGACCTTCATGATTTCCCTTCAGTGTCCGACACATAGTATTGGATGAAGCAGACCGCATGCTCGATGCCGAGTTTTTGGAACAGGTCCAAGAAGTAGTGGCTTCATGTACACACCCCAAAGTACAAAAGGCTGTATTTAGCGCGACTCTGCCAGCTAATGCAGAGAAAATCGCCATGAGTATGCTGCATGACCCCATCCGTGTAGTCGTCGGATTAAAGTACGCTAATGGATCTTTCGCTTGCAAACGGCACTCATATCGGAATTCCACAGAGATACACCACTGCCACTAATCGCTCAATCGCTTACTTATGTCGCAGACGATTCCTCAAAGCTCCCGACACTTCTCCAATACCTCTCACAGCCTTATAATCCGCCTCTCCTTGTTTTCGTCTCCACACAGCCCCGAGCAACTTCTCTTGCCGAGGAACTAGTCTTGAGCGGTACACCAAATGTCGATTGTTTGCATGCAGGAATGACGAAGAAGGAACGAGAAGATGCTGTTTCTCGAATGCGCAAAGGCGAGAGCTGGGTCATGGTTAGCACGGAAGTAATGGCACGGGGCATGGATTTCAAGGGCGTCAGAGAGGTTATTAACTATGACTTCCCCCAAAGTGTGCAGAGCTACGTGCATCGCATTGGTAGGCAGTTCCTTTCTGATTGCTTTGTGGAATCCTGATAAGAATGGAATGATCTGTGGCTTAGGTCGTACTGGACGTGCGGGCCGGGAAGGGAAAGCTATCACATATTTCACTGACGAAGATGCCCCGTTCCTCAAAACGTAAGTCATCCGCTATCGTCACGCGTCATCATTGACCTATCCAATCGCCGTCTAGAATTGCTAATGTCATTTTACAATCGGGCTCGACCGTACCGGAGTGGATGGTGAAGTTACCCAAACCATCGAAGATGAAACGGAGGGAAATGGGTAAGGTCAAACGTGCTGATGCTGTGAACAGTGCACGGAGAGTTGGAAGATCAGAGGCGATCAAGAAGCGGTGAGTGTACAAACAGCACGATTAAGGGAAGTTGTTCTGATTGTCCTGTGCGATACTTATCAGGGACATGATTGCGGGCTCGAAGCGACGAAAAGGGAAGGATGAGCTGAGTGAAGTTCCGAAAAGAGATTATCTTGAGAAACCCCGTGCTACAGATGCAGGAGAAATGTCAGAATAGAATTATCATACTAGACCAGTATTCCCGCGAGGGTTATTGTACCCTTTCGAGGCAATCTAAAAGTTCCGACGGCTCAAGAATCTTGACCCTGACAAGTGGGGCCGTGTAAAGTTCTCTATGCGAAAAGAGCGTGACGAGCTGTATCTCCTCCGTGTGGCGTATATAGATTAAGGCGTCTCTGCAGCGACGAAGAGATGTGTTTGATCCTGCAAAACCGGCCGTTGAACGACCTAGGTACCTCCAATTTAACCTCCGTACACAAGGTCGCTATGTGAGCGACGACGGGGTCTTCCAAATCGGTATGTTAGGCTCCGACGACGCGCGTTGCAAGCGAATGACAAGGTGGCGAGATGCAATCTTTTGACACTTGCGGGGAGATCACTAGGGGACGTTGTCATAACTGTCATCCAGCAGCAGCAGGTTTCCGCCGACTCGGATGTAAAAGAGGTCATTGAAGAACACGGGACGAGATCCACTTGAAATATCTGCAAAGTTCTTTCCGAGACAAAGCGGGCATACACCATTGCTCGCTCGGAATGGAAAGAATCCATGCCACGCCGCTCAACTATGTGCGATGAGGAGGAGTGAGTCAGAAGGTCTAATGACCTGTGGGAAGATCGCAATTGCTTTTGAAAGCAACGGGTGCCTTTATCGGTCTTCATCCGTGAGGTTTCCCGTCAGGTGCAGGTGCGCTCACCGTCCAGATGAGGCTCCTTCATGCAGGGGGGCGCAAGGACAGGATGGTAAAGGAACGGCGACATGGTGTTTTCGGAAGGTTGGAGATTTTTGGGGGAAAGGTCGCGGCGTCATCTCGATAACCTGAGCAGGCTCACGGAAAAACTATAGCATAGCACAGATGCGATGGCGCCGAAATTAAGCGGTTAGCTAGTTCGACAGTAACCTTGTCCTCGTATAGACCACATTTTGGGCTGTGTTTCAGCATTGTGTAAAGCTATACAACAGTTCTGCGAGTGCTGCCCAAAAACGGTCTCTGAGGACAATCGTGATGATAGCCGAGCCTTGGGAACGGACGTACTATATGAATTATTCATGAGGAAACCACGTTGTGATTGGCAAGGGAGACTCCGTTCTCCGCTTGTGTGGCGAGGGATATTTTGGTATATGAACGGGAGGACTCGAAGGTGAGTACAACGATTCTAGTGCACCGAGCCCCCCAAACTCAGTAAATATTCCTCCACAGAGACCGAGTGTACACTCACCTCCTCCTTCAACAACACTCAATGCCTGTTGCTCGTATCCTCCCTAGTCGTCGTCGCTCGCGACGACTAGCTAGTCGCCCACCGACTGATACCGGTATGTGTTGTCACTGTGTTTGCCACTGTGGGTCCACTCCTCATTCTTACTGACTTACTTAATCGGCCAGAGTATCAAGACTCGGACTTTGATCTACAGTCAGAGAGCCCGCGGTCGTCTGATGCATCCTCTTTCTCGTCGTTGACGACGCCCATCTCAACACCCGCCTCATCCCCCACATCGTCGCCCTCGTCGTGCGCTACTTCTCTCGCCTCCGATGACGAGTCTGTCCCCTCTGCCCGCTCCCATTCTTCCAAGAAGGCCAGCAATCATATCAATCGCCCACCTAACGCATTCATCGTGTTTCGCTCAGAACTCCGGGCGGAGGAGAAGAGGAGACAGGAGGAGGAGAGTATAAAGAGGGAAGAGAGGAAAAGAAGGGCGAAGGAGGCAGGGATCGAGGAGGAGGAGGACAAGCAGAAAAACGCCATCACTCACAGCCTGAGTCAGTTCAGCCGCATGGCTGGAGAACTCTGGCAAAGCCTTTCTTTCCAAGAGCAGCAGCCGTGGAGGGCGAAGGCCGACAGAATGAAACTGGAGCACATGATACTGCATCCTGGCTACAAGTATTCTCCCAACTCTAAGGCCAAAGCGCAGAAGAAGAGGAGGTCCCCTGGCAACACCAAGCTCAGGCAGAAGCGTTCCAAGGTCGTTGTTGAGCTGGAGCATGAAGGCTACGGAGGAGATGAGATCGATAATTTGGTCAGCACTTTGGAGGCCAGGTTAGGCGTAGGTCGCAAGACTCGGACGTCTGCTCCTCGAACGAAGCAACAAACTCGCACTCGCCAATCTCAGTCTCAGTCCTCAGCATCATCTTCGGATACCCCCGCCTCTTCTCGTCGCACGAAAGCAGCCAAAGTCGCTGAGGCATTCATATCTTCGTCTTTACCCTCGGGTCAGGAAACACTTTCGCTCGAGGTTGCCGATACCCAAGGATCGCCAGCATCGGCGCAAGGGCCTCTATTTGTCGCTACTGAGGACACTGTCGCCTTTGCATTGCAAGGAAGTTCACCCGAAGTTTTCCATCAGGTATTTCGTCTCGCGCATCATGACTACAGATAGAGGCTCACTCATCATCATCAGGATGAAAATTACTTTGGCCAGTCTTTCATTGACAGCTTCCACACTACCGCCGTGCCAAACGAGTTCTACGCATTTGACTATGATCAAAACAA